CTGCAAATCATTCTCCTCTGCTGCTAAGTGGAATGAACAAATCTATGCCACCTAAAGAACTTCCCCTGCACCCAACAGTACAAGCTCCTTGTTTCTTGGGAACTAACATGTGGGACAACAAAGTTGCCCTGATCTCTAGAACTAAGGACTGTGTTGGTACCTCTCCAAGCTGCCAAGTGTAGCCCTTTTCCCAGTGGTCGGGCCCCAGGGGTTTCCAGAGGGAGACAGAGCTCTCACAGGCTGTCACCACACAGAGCTCTCTGCAGCCAGCTGCTTCCCACCACATGGTGCTCACATCCACGGCGCAGGAACTCGGACAATCCTGCCCAAAAGAAAACAGGGCTGGTTTTCTTCTGCCTGATGTGGTTATCTAACCTGGAGGGACAGCCTGAGGACAATGCTTCACATGCAGTGTGGGGAGAGTCTGAGGCTGAAACTTTACGCTTATGATGTTTAATTTTGAACAAAGTGCCAGTGAGGCACCCAGGAGAACGTGCTTGGTGGGTTTCATCCTCAGAGCAAATACACTGCCTCACTTCACAGAAGTCACCTGTCATTTGAAAAGACAGGGACCCAGCAGGGGCCTGAGCTCAGACAAGACTTACGGGGTTAGTTAGTGCCCAAAAGGTGACAGGAGGCTACTGGAGCCACAGGGCAGGCAACAGGGGTACAAAGGCTGAGATCATCTTACCTCGGGCCAAAGTAAAATGCAGCAGCTGTTCCTTAAGGCACTTGCATGTGTTTAGAATTCATTATTCAGACCCAAACTCTGAAATCATCAGTCAGAAGGAGCTGAAGAGCAATCTAACCCCTCTGGAGGCTTTACCATGAGACACAACTGATCAATTAGACAGCAATCTACTTTGTGCACCTACCCATTCTGCAGGTTTTATTTCATTTTTGTTAAGCTCACTATTACAGAGCTGCCACTGACTCAGTAACAATTATCTGATGTTATCCCACCTTCAGCTTTGATAGAAGCTGCAAGCTCTCTTCTCTCAGGCCATCAGGAAGTACTGGAATCAACTCTTCTGCTACAGCTTTTTCCTGCACAGACAAGTAAAGAATGAAGATAATTCAACTGTGAAATTAGATTCAGCACCTGCAAGAACGAGGCAGAAGTGTGAATTCACCCTGTTGCTGGAGAGCCAAGGGAGGAGAACCTCTTTTTGTACCTGCATGTCTTTGAAAACTCAGAAATCCCAGCCAAGTTTCCAGGCTTCACCTGAAAATTCTCTCTTACCATCACTTTGCATCTCAGCCTCCAGAAACAAGTCATTCTCTCAGTATCCATCCCACATACGAGTCATTTCATCTCCTTTACCAAATCCTAGCTGAAAATGTTCCTTGAGGTGGATAACACTTTGTGGGTACCAGAAACTTTGTTCAAATCAAGCAGGACGTTAAAGAATTTGCTCTTGAGGTCAAAAGACCTTAGGCAACAGATGAGACCCAAACATGCAATAAGTCAGCTAAAAGACAGCATGCAGGGCTAGCAGCAAATAGGTCTTTCCCCTGAAGCCAGGTGAGACACCTGGAAAGGGGATTTGCCCACATACCCACTGGGTTAGCACCATGGGCAGAGGCCCAGCTTGTTACCTGCTCAGGAGAAGCTCTGCCGGATCCCTGCTGTTTGCCCTCTGAGTGCTGGTGCTCCTCCAAGGCCTCAGCCTCATCACATTTATTATTGGGACCTCTTTCCACTTCTACAGGAAACACCGTACCTTGTTCTTCCTCTTGCTCAGCAGATCCTGCACCACAAGGGTCCAAGTGCAGTGGAATGGCAGAGTCTTTGCATCCTCCCTCCTGCACACCCCACGCAGATGCTCTGTTGGAGGGATGCAGGCTGGGAGGGATGGAAGGTGTGTCGGGGGACACCTCACTGTGTACTGAGGGTAACACAGCCGGGGTTGCACCCACGAGAGGGAACACACATGAGGAAGTCTGGGACCCTGGCTGAGTGGGAGCAGCAGCTAAGACAGTCCCCATGGGAGTAAGGAGCAATTCGTGGGTGGAAAGCTCCTTCTTGGAAGCTGGGCTTTCTGCGTGAGGTGACTTGGGCAACCCAGTTTTGAAAGGTGAAATCAAATCACTTCTGAGACATCTTTCTTCTGGAGTCATTTGTGCATCCTGTGTGTCCTCTGCAGCCACCCCATCTCCAAACACACTAGGAACAAAAACTTCCAAGTCATTCACAGGGGAAGATTCTAGTTTCTCATGTTTTAGTCGTCCAAACTCCTCATCAGGTAAGTGGAAGTCCCTGATACCCAGCCTGGGGGCCAGCCACTGGAGGCTGCGGAAGGAGAAGAGAGAGCCACAAGTATTGAGGTCCACAGCAGGGAGGCCAAGAGGAGCAAGAGCCTCAGGACCCTCAGGACCTTTTGCCAGGTGCCCTCCTGCTCTCTGCCTCGCAGCACAACGCAGAGAGCGGCGCAGGGGGAAGTTAATCACCGGGAGCAGCTCAGCCCTGTAGGCTCCGGGTACCTGCTCATTCCCCACAGGCTCTGCTGGCTCTCCATCAGCCTGGCACACAGGGAACTTGGTTTCCAGGTCTCCTGTGTGGATGGGAGAAGCTCCATTCCCCAGGTGCAGAGAATCATTGTCTTGAAGTAGACTTTGAGGCTGTTCTAACAGAGTCTTAAGGCACTTGTCAAGCACTTGGCTCCCCACCGGAGCAGGATCCACACTCCTCGGCTGTACAGCACCAGACCCTCCTGTCTCTGTAGCTCCAAGAGCTGCAGCAGCAGAGAACCTTCTCTCATCTGAAGGTGGCTTTTCAAGACCCCCACCACAGTTTCCCTTTTGGCTCTGACACTCATTCGACAGCAGACTGCTGCCTTCCCTCGCCACTGTGAGATCCAAGCTCTCGATGAGCTCTGGTGACACCAGACGCACTGGGGGGGTGCTGGCAGGCTTTCTTCTTCCCTTCTGCTTCCTCTGTGATTGTCTCCGAGCTTGCCCTGTGCTGGTGATACTGCTCTGGGAAACAGATCCAAGGGAAGTGCTGCTACCACTGGAGGCAGGAAGAGATCTCTGAGGACTACCTGTATTTGCTGGATCATCTTCTGCCCCAAGGCAAGGGAGCGGCACTGTCCCTGACCCCACATCATCTTCAGCTCTTTCTTGGGAGGGCTGATCCGAATTCGCATCTCCGAGCTTGCACTTACTTCGCTGACCCTTCTTGCTCCTGCTCAGCTGGCTGAGGATGACGGCATCGAGGTCCACCTTCCTCTGGGAGCTGGACATGCGCCGAGTTGTCCTGACGTAGTATTCAACCGGGAAGAGAAGCCCTTCAATCACCGTGCACGAGCTCAGGGCGCTTCCAGGGGCTGCCACGTTTGCCAGAGGAGAAAGTCTTGACTGAGTTTCAAGCTGTTGGTTCTCCAGCAGTTCCTCAACACCGTCCAGAGCAAGATCTGCTGGAAAGGGATCTAAGCTACCAGCGTCACTCTGATTCCCCTCATGGCTTTTGCTCTCGTTACTTACAGTCTTATTTCCATCAGGAGACAATGCCTCATTTTCTGACATTAAATCCAAGAGCCTATGTAATTCCCCCCGATCTTCACACATACTCTCACCAACCGTTTGGCTGATTATACTGGGGGATTCCTTTCCTCCATCAGCACTGATGTCAACTAGAGCAGAGTCTCTGTTCTCTGAACATAGCCATGCAGGCTCAGGGTTGTCAGATGATGGCACAGCACCCGGGGACCCGGGCTGCCAGACACTGCTGCTGTCCTGCAGTGCACATGGGAAGAGCTCAGGTGCTCCTGGAGGCACAGAGTCTTGTGTGACTCCTGATGCTGCACTGGGAGGAGTGAAAACGTTCTCTTCTCTCTGCACAAGTGCTGGTCCTGCTGCTCTTGGAGCCGTTTCCTCAGTGGCTGAGGCACTGCTTTGCCCGAAGACTGGAGACTGGAGCTCCCCTGTGCTGGCAATTCGATTTGTCACCGTTTCACCAGTGTTGCTGAGAGGCACATCACGCACCGATCCCCCCGACACCCGAGCCTTCGCCCGTCTCCTCAGCCTCAGCAGGCTTCTGGAGCTTTGGTGTCTGTTCTCCTCAGGGGTAGGCCTGGCAGTTCCAGCACACAGCATTTCCTGGCTAGCCTGTATGCTTTCTGCCTGTGAGCTGCCCTGCAGGCCCCCCTCGGGAACATGTTTGAATGCACCAGATGTTTGCTCCTGTGTGCCAAGACCGGAGCAGGGTTCAGTCTGTAACTGCGAGGTTTCACGTTTGTCAGCACTAGGAGGTTCAGCATCTCTAGAACCTGGGGGAAAGAATGTCATACACGTAAAGTCCTCCCAGCAAAGCCCCACCCCGGCAGGACATCACACAGTAAAGCTAGAAACCATTTTGGGGAGCGAAGGACTGGGATCTTAGAGCCTGGACCTGGTGCGGAGGGAGGAGAGGAGATGGCAGAGGCCACCATGTGGGCTTGGGGGCAGGGGAGCTGGGGCCTGTCCCACAGGGCAGGCTGCGGGGCACGGAAGGGTGATAGAGGCCGGTCCGGGCTGTCCTGGGCTGTCCCTGGCCCCGGCCCCGGCGGGGGCACTGGGCCTCACAGCAGCTCCCGCCGCCCGCCGGCTCCTACCTGCGGGGCTCGGCTCCCGCCGGGCTCCTTCCGCCGCCGCGTCCCGGCCGTGGCTCCTGGCTCGCTCTGCTCGCCGCGCCCGCTGCACACACACACACACACACAACACCGGCGGAGCTGCCACCGGGCTCCTGCCACTGTGCCCGCGCCCGGCCCGGCCCAGCCCCGTCCCGTCCCGCTCACCCGCAGCCGGCTGACGGTCTCGCTGTACTCCCTCCGCAGCAGCGCCAGCTTCTCCCGCAGCTACAACACACAACACACAACACACCGGGCTCACACCGGGCTCACACCGGGCTCACACCGGGCTCGCACCGGGCTCGCACCGCCGCCCCGGCCCCGCTCCGGTACCTGCTCCCTCTGCGAGCCGCTGAGGGCCCCGCCGCCCGCCGGCTCCTCCATGGCCGCCCCGCCGGGCCCTGCGTGCCCATGGCAACCGCGCCGGAAGCGCCGGCGGCGGGAGGACGTGATGCGCCGGAAGCCGGGAGAGGCCGTGCGGAAGTGGAGCCGCCATGGAGCTGAGTGAGATGCTCTACAACAAGTCCGAGTACATCGAGACGGTGCGGGCGGGGCGGGGACGGGAACGGGGACGGGAACGGGAACGGGAACGGGAACGGGAACGGGACGGGAACGGGACGGGAACGGGAGTAGCGGGGAACCGAGGGGCTTACCGGGGTCTGGCAGCAGTGCCGGGGTCCGGAGGCGGCCGCACTGACCCTGCCGTTCTCCCCGCAGGCGTCCGGCAACAAGGTGAGCCGTCAGTCCGTGCTGTGCGGCAGCCAGAACATCGTCCTCAACGGCAAGGTAGGCACCGGGAGCGGGCTGCCGCGTCCCCGCCGCACCGGGGTTCATCTGCAGCTGGGCCGGGCAGGCCGCGGGCTCCCTGTCACTGCTGCTGTGCTGCCTCACGGTACCGGGCTCTGCTCGGCACTGACCAGGCTGGACAGAGTCATGAGTGACATGGTCTGGTGTGGGATGTCCCTGTCCATGGCAAGTCATGTTAAGGTCCTTTCCAACCCAAACCATTTCACGATTAACCCTTAGATCTTAAAGGAGTGACATCCAGAGATGAGATGGTTTGCCCGGACACACAGTGTGCAGGTTGCAGATAAATTTCTGGAGTCACTTTAGAGTTTGGGGAACATAAAATGGCTGCTGGGGTTGGTTTGTATTGACCTGAGACCTTCATCCTCCTTTCTTTGCTTTGGTGTCACTTTTCTTTTGACTGAAAGAGTTGTCTGTAAGGTAATGGAATCTCTCTGGAGCGGCCTGACCTCTGCATGAGCCTGTGCAGTAACTGGTATCATGCGTAGGAACTGGAGCTCATTTGTGTCTTCTCTTTTGCAGACAATAGTTATGAATGACTGCATCATCCGCGGTGACCTGGCGAATGTCCGGGTTGGGAGACACTGCGTGGTGAAAAGCCGCAGTGTCATCAGGCCACCCTTCAAGAAGTTCAGCAAAGGGTAAGAGGTCCCTTTCCTTTGGGAGAGACTGAGGTTAAGATCCATGGGCTGAAAAAGCTGCACTGGCTTGGCTGAGGTGTGTGTTTGGAGGGCAGTGTTCCTCTTGCAGCAATCCGCACAAATACATCCCTCTAAACCCGCGTTTTCTACAGAATTCCAGCTCTGTCCTGAGGGTTTGCATTCCTTCAGCCCATAATATGGAAATATATGGGACATGTTCAAATAGCAAAGTGAATAACGTTTGTGTACACACAACCTGTGCCTGTTGCTCATTCAGGACATCCTTTGGGAAGAGATGAGAACGATCATTCTGTCCTCAGCACCACCTCTGCCTCTGGCAGTCCAGCGGGAGACAGGAGACTCCGCAGTGTGATTTGGGGTCTCAGTGTCGCAGATCAGTCTGTCTGTTGTACAAATACCTCTCCTCTTGCAGGGTGGCTTTTTTCCCTCTCCATATTGGTGATCATGTCTTCATAGAAGAGGACTGTGTGGTCAATGCAGCCCAGATCGGCTCCTATGTCCACATAGGCAAGAACTGTGTCATTGTGAGTGCTATTTCCCAGTCTTCTCCTTAAGCTCTGGCATACTGTTGAGGCTTTGTAAGCACAGCTTCCTTCCACAGCCTCCTCTTCCCTCCCCACTTCTGCTTTCCCTTATGCAGAATGCTTTTAGCAGCTAAACTTGTGGAAGTTTAGGTACCTCCTCAGTCATAAGCAACATCAAAGAGTGTTTTAAGCATAAACTTTCCCTAATCTCTGTTTTAGGGCCGCAGGTGCGTTTTGAAAGACTGCTGCAAAATCTTAGACAACACAGTCCTACCTCCTGAAACAGTTGTCCCACCGTTCACAGTGTTCTCGGGCTGCCCAGGTACACTCCCTCCAGCTTTACTTGAACCGAAGTGTGGATAATGTGGATGTTCTTGTTTTAAATGGAGATTGCTGTGATGGACTTGTCCATTAGCATTTAGCGCCTGGAAATGAAGATATGGGGCACTTGGTGAACTGAAAAGTAACAATCGTAACTTGTTCTCCTCCTCCCATGGTTCCTGATTCTGCAGGAGGTTCAGTGGTTCAGACTGTAAGAAGACCACTGGCTCCTTATTCCTACGTTAGTAGGGAGGGAGGTACATTAAACTGCTGTTAGTTTAGTTTAGTTCCTGCCCATCGACCTGTCTGTGCTGGAGACCTTCCTGCACAAATTGCACACTCCATCATTTATCTTCTGATGGTGCTTTGTGGGGACCAGTGGGAGCTGTAAGGACCCAGCTGAGCAGCCTGTCTGCCCTGGGCGTACAGTGTGAACATACTGAGTAGCTCCACTTCAGAGATGAGCTCTTTGCTGTTCCGTTTGTATTTACCTACAACTCAATCCAAGTGGCTGATTGAATGTTGAACACAAACTTATTTTCTGCTTTCTCCTGCAAGAACACTGATGCTCACACTCTTGTTCCTCTTCCAGGGCTCTTCTCTGGGGAACTCCCGGAATGTACCCAGGAGCTCATGATTGATGTTACAAAGAGCTATTACCAGAAGTTCCTGCCGCTCACGCAAGTCTAGCAGCCTATTTCATGTCTCAGACCAGTAGAGGCACTTGGAAGCGTTCTGGGGGCAGGGAGGGGGGTTGTTAAGTGAGACCAGGCCTCAGCCCTCACTGTTCTGAGAACTCTATGAGTGTTCCTCAGCGCTGACGGTCTGGCCAAGCAGCCCTTCCTGAAAGCTGCTGTATCCCATGGTTTAACCTTTGTGTGCTCATTTGGGTGTCATTCATTCCATATTGTCTGAATTGTGCCAGTTGGGAAAGCTGATACAGCTCCCTTTGGGGCCGCATCTCCTCAGTGCAGCTGGGGAACAAGGCTAGAAGCAGTGAGCATCCTGGAGCAGAAGGACTGTGTGGGTGGTGGGTGTGTTGGGGCAGTTCCTTACAAGGCTCACAGATCCAGTGCTTTCCATTGGCAAAATAGGTGCTGCTCTGTGGAGCTGAGTTGGGGTGGATGCCCTCTGCCTTTTCTCCCCGTGAACTGAGATTCACTGTTCATTACCTGGGGACTGGCTTTAGGACTTTTGGCTGACACTGAAACCTGTCTCTCCATGCCCTGCCTGACAGGACACTTCATAGCTTTTAGCTCTTGAAGCTCTCGCCTGTCACGCACGGTTGTCATTCATGTGGCCAGTGCATGCTCTACTTCCTGAGCATTGCAGACCATAAAGAGCCGAAGGGCTTTGGGAAGAGGATTCACTCCATGTCACTCACAGAGCTCAGCACAGCAGAAATAGGGTAACTAAAAGCAGGAAGCAGAGGTGGGTGAGAGAATACTGCAAATATCCCCATTTATTCCCCAGTGTGTATATTTGCAGGAAGCTCTTTGGTGCTTTTCTGCATCATTAAACCTAAGGGGGAGATTCAGACTTCCTGGAAAGAGTGCACATTCCATTTCTGACACTGAACAGGGCAGGAGTAATTCTTGCTGGGAGCAGCTGATACTGCATGTACCTGACCCAGTACCAGACAACTGACTGAAAATGATGTGCCTGCTCTGGCTGCGTTAGCTAAAGCTTAGCATTGTCCTTCCCTAGGTTTAAAACTGGCCTCCCACATGTTGTAGTTATAGCAGCTGAGGCTGAGGTGTGTATTAGTGATGCAGTAGGCGCGTGGCTGCCACAGCAGCCCTGAGCCTTCAGCCTTTCTTTATAACGAAGTGCTGATACATCTCAAGTAGCCAACAGCTGGACCAGTGTGCAGTAACCACGGTTAAATGTGCAAGCACTGACTGCTCTGTTTGTATTTTTACTGTGTGTAAATAAAAGCCTCTTCAGTTGTTCAAGCAGTGCAAGGTTGTGACTCTTCAAACTAGGTGGAGGTTTCTGCTGCTCCCGGGGCACATGAGCTGCAGGCTCTTGTGTTCTGGTTGGTATCGGTTGTTACAGTGCCAGTGTGTTAGAAAGCGAGGTACAGCATGAACCAGCTGCCTCTGAGCGGGCAGCTTTCACCCACAAATGGTCCCATGGGAGACTCCTAAATGAGAGGTTTACAAGGGCCTGTAGGGACAGGCCAAGGGGAATGGCTTGAACCTGCCCGAGGGGAGACTGAGCTGAGCTCTTAGGCAGAAGCTCTTCCCTGTGAGGGTGCTGAGGCGCTGGCACAGGGTGCCCAGAGAAGCTGTGGCTGCCCCATCCCTGGCAGTGCTCAAGGCCAGGTTGGACACAGGGGCTTGGAGCAAGCTGCTCCAGTGGAAGGGGTCCCTGCCTGTGGCAGGGGCTGGAGCTGGAGGAGCTTTAAGCTCCATTAGAAGCCGCCGGAGCAGAGCAGAACAGAGCAGAGCACTGCGGGGAGCGGGGTCCCCAGAGCGGGACAGAGTCGAGCGATCCCTTCCCTCCGCCTGCGGGGTGCACCCGGGGACACCCCGGGGCCCCCTTCCCCGAGCCGTTACCGTGGGGGGGGCTCGCGTTTCCCGGCCCCACCACGTGTCCCGCTCGGCCGCTTAACGGCCTTTAAAGCGCAGCGCTCCCATGGTGCCCTGCGCCGCGGCGTGGAGTTTAAATCCTCCGGGCCAATGGGCAGCGGCCGCGGTAACGATCGTGAGCGGCGTTTGAATTGGCCCTGCCCGCTCTGCGCCTGCGCCACCGCCACCGGCTCCCCCGGCCGCTCCCGGTGCGCTGCGCTGCGCTCCCCTCCCGGCACGGCAGAGCCCAGCACGGCACGGAATGAGTGCGGCGGGCGGCAAGGTAGTGCGGCCCCTGGCCCGGGCAGAGCCGGTGCGGCCGGCGGCCAAGGCAGAGCCCGCCCGGACCGGCGCCTCGGCGGCCGCGGCCAGGAGCGAGGTCCCGAAGGTGCTGGTGGATCCGCGGACCCGGCGCAGCTTCGTGCGCGGGAGGTTCCTGGGCAGAGGCGGCTTCGCGCGGTGCTATGAGCTGGCGGAGAGCGAGAGCCAGGAGGTGTTCGCGGGGAAGGTGGTGCCCAAGTCGCTGCTGCTCAAGCGGCAGCAGAAGGAGAAGATGTCCATGGAGATCGCCATCCACCGCAGCCTGGCGCACCGGCACGTTGTGGGCTTCCACGGCTTCTTCGAGGACGATGACTTCGTCTACGTGGTGCTGGAGCTCTGCCGACGCAGGGTGAGGGGCCGGGGGGCAGCGGGACCCGGTGGGGGGGGGGGGGGGTGTGGGTCGGTGTCACCGGTACTGGTTTACCCCGGTACTGATTGTCCCCCGGTGCTGACCTCCCTGTCCCCCCACAGTCGCTGCTGGAGCTGCACAAGCGGCGGAAGGCGCTGAGCGAGCCCGAGGTGCGGTACTACCTGCGCCACATCATCCTGGGCTGCCAGTACCTGCACAGCCAGCGCATCATTCACCGCGACCTCAAGCTGGCCAACCTCTTCCTCAGCGATGACATGGAGGTGAAGATCGGTAGGTGTCCGTGGTGTGATGCCCTCCCCTGGCTGCCCCCATGGGACCCCACCCCAGGGACCAGCCATCCAGGGCATCTCCAGACAAACCCTGTCTTCCCCAGGTGACTTTGGCCTGGCCACTAAAGTAGAGTATGATGGCGAGCGTAAGATGACCCTGTGTGGGACCCCCAACTACATTGCTCCGGAGGTGCTGGGCCAGAAGGGGCACAGTTTCGAGGTGGACATCTGGTCCATTGGCTGCATCACGTAAGTCAAGTTTCCTCTTGTACAGCCATGGGGTGGGCAGTTGGTCCCTGTGGTCCTGCTCCTTTGGCTCTTTCAGGTTTCGGTGTGAGCAAAAGCTCCTCACTGTGTCCAGAGTGCCTGATGCCAGCAGCACTCCCTGTGCTCCACAGGCACTGGTGCCGCTGTGTCTGCACAGCGTGGCTGTCTCGAGGCATTTACCGAAAGCCTGTGCTGCCTGTTCCAGACCTTTCTCCAGAGGGTGCCAGGTCCCAGCTTCCCTTTGGGCAGCACCCAGGCCCAGTCTGCAGCTCTGCATGTCCAGTGCTGACTGTGTTCCGCCTGCTAGGGAAGTCCCAGGGTGTGCTTAGGAGAAGGTCACTGCGCACAAGTCCCAGAGTGTCTGTTGCAGAGCTGACCCCTTTTGTCTGCAAACACACAGGTACACTCTGCTGGTGGGGAAACCGCCATTTGAAACGCCTTCTCTGAAAGAAACCTACCTCCGAATCAAGAAGAACCAATATACTATTCCCAAGGTATGGTCCTTGTGGGTGGATCTCACCTTGCAGCAGTTTTTGGTCAGCCTTCTGCTGCCCATCGTGTTTCTAGCACTTAACGGGCTCTCACATAATGGTGAGCTCCCAGAGTGCTGTGAAGGGGATGTTTCAGGTCGTGGTGGAGTGAGCTAGCAGCTCCCTGCCCCTCAATCCAGCGAGCCTTAGCTGGGCAGTTGGTGTGTGGGGTTTAATGGATGTGTTCAAGTCCATGAGTCCTGGGTCAGGTCCCCAGCTCATCCCATTGCTGTGAGTTCTCTTGCTAACATAGTTGACTCCAGGCTTTACACGCTGTTGGGAGCAGCGCAAGAGCTCTGCTCTGAGCAGAGCTTCCCCCAGGTTGTGCATCCATTCATGCACGTTGCCCCCTGACCCTTGTCTCTGTCTCCTCTCAGCACATCAACCCTGTAGCTGCTAACCTTATCCAGAAGATGCTGAGGTCCGACCCTGCCACGCGCCCAACAATCGACGAGTTGCTGAATGACGAGTTCTTCACGTCGGGATACATCCCCAGCCGCCTGCCCACCAGCTGCCTCACCATTGCTCCTAGGTTTTCCATTGTTCCCAGTGGGCTTGAGCCGGGCGGGCGAAAGCCGCTCATTGAAATCAACAAAGGTAAGTGTGAGCCCCTGGAGGTGGGGCTGGGCCACCGCAGTGTCCAGAGCAGTCCATGGGGATGTGGTGATCCCTCACTTCTTCTACCCGTTCTTAAGAAAACCTGGAGCATTCTGTGAGCAAGAGAGGTCTCCTCGCTCTGCCCAGCTCCAAAGCAGGGAGGAGGTGCCAGCACTAGCTCTAGTTATGTGCTGTGTGTTGTGTTCTCTATAGCTGGGGTAGGATGTGCATCTGGTGCCTATAGGAGCCTGGTCACTCATCCAACGTCTTCTCTTTGCTGGCCCAGGACGAGATGGCCCAGCACTGGAGAGCTTGCCTGACAAGGAAGATGTCGCTGCGCTGCGGGAGCTGGGAGATGCTGTTGGCACCCATTTAGCTGACATGTTAAAGCAGCTGACTGCAGTCAACCTGGCCAAGCCCTCTGAAAGACTGGTGGTGAGGCAAGGTGAGGAGTCGCTTCCCTTCCTTCAGGCATTGCCTGCTCGCTGGGGTGCACAGGGTGCTGTGAAATGTCACCTAACAAACTCCTCTTCTCTTTGCAGAAGAAGCTGAGGACCCAGCCTGCATTCCCATCTTCTGGGTTAGCAAATGGGTGGACTACTCGGATAAATATGGCTTAGGTAAATGACATGGGGGCAGTGTTTCAGCCTTTTCCAGTCTCTGAAGAAGCTGGGGAAGCTTGGGTTTGGGCATTGCACAGGTCTGGTTCTTTAATCAATAGTGTGTGTGTGAGATTGCTGTCAGAAACGTTACCAAATCATGAGTGAATCCAGAGCAGTGGTCACTGAGCATTAGCCCAGGCCACCTTAAGGTGGGAGATGGCTGTCAGCTGATGAGGGAGCACAGGCACCCACTGCAGAAGCTGTGGTTGTTTCTGCAGCAGGGGATGCATAAGGGAGGATGACAAATCCAGAAGACCTCACCAAACAGGAGGCTCTTTAGACCTGGCAGGGACTTGGGGGGTGGCTGTCAGGGAACCCCTGGATGATACAACCTGCCTTTGTGTTCCACACAACCCGTGGTCCCATGTATGTGAAGGCCTAACAGGCAGCTCCCTTTTGCACTAGGTTACCAGCTGTGTGACAACAGCGTTGGAGTTCTCTTCAATGACTCCACTCATCTGATAATGTACAGCGATGGGGACAGCTTGCAGTACATCGAGCAAAAAGGCGCCGAGTCCTACTTCACTGTGAGATCCTACCCCTCTGCCCTCAACAAGAAGGTCAGTGCCAGGGGCAGGAGCCTTGCTTGGGGGGCTGATGGTGAGACTGATGCCAGCCTTGCTGGGCTTTGGCAGGGGGGCCAAGGAGAAGCAGCTGTAACTCAGGGTGGCTGGCGTTCTGCAGGCTTCCTCCTGGCTGGTAAAACACAGCCCCAGGGACAGACACCCGCAGCTCTGGGTGTTCATTTCTGGTTGCTGTCTGAGGCTCCTTTATGAGCAGCGTCACAGAAATAAGTGCTTCTGTGACTTGTATGCACCAGTGTGAGCAAAGCGAGTCTCGAGTACCGCAGACTGAGTTAACTCTGAGTGTCAGGGTTTGCACAAGCTTGTGCAGGGACGCCTCGGGCTCTGGGTCTGTGAGAGCAGCCCCTGTGCCCCCCCAGCCTGCTCACAGCCTCTCCCACCCGCAGATAGAGCTATTGAAATACTTCCGGAACTACATGAGCGAGCACTTGCTGAAGGCGGGCGCCAACATCACCCCTCGGGAGGGGGACGAGCTGGCCCGGCTGCCCTACCTCTGCACGTGGTTCCGCACCCGCAGAGCCATCACCCTGCACCTCAGCAACGGCACCGTCCAGATCAACTTCTTCAAGGTGAGAGCTGCCTCGTGGCCTGAGCCAAAGCTTTGCCCTGCCCAGGGAGCTCCTTGCTTCCACTGTGGGTACGTGCATGCCGTGCAGACGCTCCTTGCTCGTGAAGGGCTGTGTCCAGCAGGAGGGAGGCTGTGCACAGTCTGCTTGGTCACATCGTTGTGTTCCTCTTTGCTGCAGTTCCTGAATGCTGGGGTGCCCCAGCTGCTGCTGAGGTGGCCCTCAGGAGCAGAGAGCTTGAGGTGACTGTATGTTCTCTCCCCACAGGACCACACCAAGGTCATCTTGTGCCCTCTTATGGCTGCTGTCACATACATAGATGAGAAACGGGACTTCCGCACGTACAAGCTGAGCCTCATCGAGGAGCACGGATGCTGCAAGGAGCTGGCCAGCCGGCTCTGCTATGCTCGTACCATGGTGGAGAAGCTCCTCAGCTCCAAGTCTGGCTCAGGTGCTGTGAAAACCTCTGCTTAGACCTTGTTCTTGATGGACTCCACATCTGTGCCAAACCATCCCAGCTGTGGATGGGGAGGTCTGGTAGCATCCCTGCTCACACTCCCTCCACACAGCTGGGTATGGTCTGGTTGCCACAAGGAAGTGCCTGATGCTGTGGGAACACCGTTGTTCACTCTGGTACCCAAAGGTTTCTTGCTCCCCACTTCTAATAGAAAACATTTTCTAACTGTATACCTAGTGGGGTTGTTTTATAACTTCCCAAAGCTTAAAACCCACCATCTTTGAGGCTCCTGGGCCTTTTGAGAGCAAAGCATGGGGAGGGCAGAACTATCGTGTACGTTATTTGTACATGCCTGTGTGGCCTTTGTTTCCTTTTGAGACCTTCGTGTAAGCTGTTTAACATGCCCGGGGTGAGACAGCAGTCAGCCTTTTAAAGCAAATTAAACTACATGAAACCTCAACTTTTGTATATTGGAGAACTTGAATAAAGACTGTTTGGTGTACTGTCCAGCCTGGCCTGGCTTCCTGTGCCTTGCTGGGTGCAACACCGGCGCCTTGCTTCTGGTCTCCCCTCCAAGTAAGAGCTGTGCTAAGCCTGAGCTCCTGCTCAGCACTTGCTCCTCTCTCACCTCCTCCTCAACACAGAGCAAGAGGGAAGTAAGGCGATGGAAGGTCTGGGGAGGGGGTTAAATCATTCTGGGAGATGCTTCTCATAAACTGGGTAGAGTTAAGTTACTTTCCCAGTGTTGGGGAATCAGGGCTGTGCTGTGAGCAGGACTGCAGGCTAATGGCCCCCACGTCCTGTGTCATTGGCTCCATTTGCAGGCACCCAGTGAAGTACCCTGGGTTTCTTTCTGCTCTTGTCCTTGCCAGCACCTCCTGGTGCTCTCCAACCAGTTTGGTTTTAAGCAGGACAAGCTCTTCAGTTGTTTTTTAATAACATTTAGTATAAAAGGCTCTAGATCATACAGCATCCTGAAAAAACCCCAGGTACAAACCCCTTGTTACCTGCATGACAAAATCCCACACCCCAGCACAGAGGAATCACACAGTACACAATTATTGCCATTCCCAGGAGGAAACCTTGCTGCGTTAAATACATGTCCATGGGGATGCTATAAACCAGAACAGCCCTGGGGCAGCAGGGAGGCTGTGGGGTAACAGAGACGGGAGGATCCCTGGGGTGATCCCTGCCTTGGTGTCCTGGGGCAAGGGCTCCCAGAGCTGCACCACTGCTCAGGGCCGGGCCCAGTCACAAAAGGGACAAAAGCATTTCTCAGCCCAGCTGAGGTTAAAAACTTCATTACTGGGATTGTGCTGGAGCCCCATCGTCCCCTTCCAGGCTGGTGCTGCCTTGGCCTGGGATGGTGCCAGGAGCTGACCTGCTGTGCCCCAGCTGCGCTGAGGGATGGGATCACCTCCAGTGTCGAGACTGAGGCTTGGAGCAAGCTGCTCCAGTGGAAGGGGTCCCTGCCCGTGGCAGGGGTTGGAGCTGGAGGAGCTCTGAGGTCCCTCCACCCCCGCCCAGTCTGATGCTATGAAGAAGTGACCAGTGTGGGTCACAGCCAGGCTGGACGCACTCAGAGAGCCGCTCTCCCAGGCACGTGGCACGGGGTGAAGCTCCCTGATCCCCACTGCACACCCTGCTGGGACCTGGCCCCAGCCTGCCTGTGTTGCTCTGCTGGTGCCCTGCTCTGCAGCCACCCTCAGGCAAACACAACGCATTTGCTTCTTCCTTCCCGAAGCTCTGTGTCCGCCGGCAGTCACTGGATCTCTGATGTCGGTGCTTTTAGGCACGCATTTGCAAAGGTGGGTGCCCATGGGGGTCCCTCTTGGGCTCGGGAGAGCCCGGGCAGGAGCAGTGCTGCCCTGTGCTCAGCTCCTCTGGGTCATGCTGCTTGTAACCCACCTGTACACTGGGCAACCCGGTCCTGAGACCCTCACCATCCCATGGAGGGGACAGGGACACCAGAGAGCGCCTGGGCCTCTGGCTGTGGAGCCTGGCGTGGTCCCAGTGTGCATCCTGCTCACTTTGCATCGCCTGCCGGCCCCTGGCAGTAGTAGGAGTGGAAGAGGCGCTCGTGGGCGCAGCCCCTCATGGCCCCGTGTGTGTGCAGCAGCAGCCGGGGGAAGCGGGAGGTGAAGTAGTGCACAAAGGCATCGGGGACGGAGCCCAGCGCGGCGCGGACCTCGGCCGGCAGCTCGTGGTAGTGGTGCTTCTGCAGGAGGGAGTCAGTGAGCGGCGCCGGGGGCATCTGGGGAGCAGGGAGCCGGGGGGGGGGGCACGTACCTTGTTCCTCATGGCCCGCAGCAGGTCTCGCACCGAGGTCCCCTTGTAGGTGCGGAACTTCCTCAGGTCTGGGGAGAGCAGGATTGATGCTGAGCCAGGGGCTGCCCCGGAGCAGCGATGGCAGCGAGCAGCAGAGCCCACGGCACAGCCAGGGCAGCGCTGCCCCTGCACTCACCGGTCTGCAGCGGCAGGGAGATGTGCATCCTCCAGTTGGTCCTCACCACCGCCCGCGCGCCCGCTTCCAGGGCAGAGGCAATGAGGCCCTCAGCGGGCTCCTTCTCGATGCGGTCGCTGACGTCCTGCACCCAAGAGCAGGGATGGGGTGGGCACAGGGAACAGAGCTGGTGCCAAGGGGGACACAAACCCAGGGACCCCCCCACTGCATCCCACAGCAGCTCAGACGAGCACATTGACCTGAACGCACCTACATCCACTGCCCGCTCACCTGGAAGAACTGCAGCTGCTTCTCCTGACTCCAGAAGAAGGGATGCACAAGGACCACGGGGGCCGAGGGTCGGTGCTGGGGCTCAGGGCTGATCATTGCCACAATCAGGTCTCTCGCAACCAGCTTGTCTGGTAGTGAAACAACACAAGGGAGAACCAACACACCCCGAGCAGGACCCGGAGCTGCGCCCCTCAGCTCAGGGCTTTGTCATGGGGCTGTGCCCTTGGGAAGGGTCTCACCATGAGTTTCTTCCTCCAGGCAGCTCAGCTGGTAAGCGCCCGACAAGATGTTGGCCTGTCGCCGCAAGCTGTCCCCAAACGGGTGCTGTCCCCCTGACAACACGTAGTAGAAGATGCAGCCGGCTGAGAAGATGTCCACAGCACATGTCTGCAACACACAACAGGGAAGGAGATGGGATCCTCATGGCAAAAAGCAAGGAAAGCTTTCACCTCCCTGCTTCCCCATTCTTTTATGTGAACACTTGGTCACTGGCTACAGGGCTGCTGGAAAACACATCACACCAGGTCCTGATCAGGGAAGAGGCTTTCAGAGGCATAGGCAGAAGTCAGGATGGACACACCGGGTCTCACCCCGCTGTGCAAACCAAACCCACCATGGGGGTATGTGGAACATGCTGCCAACACCAGTATGTGCCCTGCCAGGGACCAGTACAGCAACCGGCTTCCAGCAGGAACAGGATTCCCTGCACTAAGCAGACAAGCAGAACGGTGACCTCCATAGCAAGCCATGGCCCAATCCAACCTCCCCATCCCAAACTTCCAAGGAGTTCATTCGGATGAGGTGCCCAGTGCTGGACACAGGGCTCAGGTGGGTCCTGGCATGGGGCACTGGTTCTCTGTGCTGGGCTGGCTCAAGGAGCACCAGCAGGGATCCATGTCTCACTGACCGGGTTCTCCTTTGGAGCCTCCTGCAGCACCTCGGGCGCGATCCAGCCCTCGGTGCCAGGGATGCCGGAGCGGAGGCTGAAGCTCTGTCGGCCCCCCTGCAGCTTCTTGCAGAGGCCGAAGTCGGAGATGACGGCTCGGATCTGCCCGTGGGGGTTTGGGACAGAGATGAGGATGTTACAGGGCTTCAGGTCACGATGGGCTGGAAGAGAGAGCGCTTGGTGTCACCCACACAAACCACTGTGTGAGAACGGGACAGGGCCGGGATGCTCCACGCCGCCTCTCACCGATGCTGAGGGAGTGGAGATGAGCCAGCCCTGACATGGTCTGGTGCAGCAGAGACACCGGGTCCAGGCCACGGCGGTCGAAGCTGGGGCTTTCCACGTACTGGAACCACACAGAGGCAGAAAGAGATGAACTGGGCCAAAGAAGCAGGGCTTGCCAGGAGATGCTGCTCGCTGGGCTGGCAGAGGTGGATGGAGACCAGCCCATGCGGAGGTCATTTGCACCCCGGCCTTGCTGCTTCCAGGCCCACCAGGCAGCACCTATTCCCCCTACAGCGAAGTGCCCGCAGCAGCAGCCCAGTGCCCTCGGCGTGCTCTCACCTCCTGCAGCGTGGCGGAGCAGAGCTCGATGGCGATGTAGTGGAACTGCTTGTCCCTCTCGGTGCAGAAGTAGCGCACGACGTGCGGGTGCTCGTCGGACTCCCGGAGCAGCCGGACCTCGCGGTCCACGAGGTGGAAGCACTCGGGCAGGAGGCGCTTCACGGCCACGTTCCGGCCCTCGAACCGTCCCCTGCGTGGGTCTGTGGCTGTGCATGGGGCTCCAGGGCCGGAGCACAGCACAGCCAGGACCATGGGGTCCTCAGCATGGGTCACCTTAGAGCGACTCCAAAGGCTTGTCACAGCCATGGGCAGGCAGGAATCCCTGCACTGTGCTGCACACAGGGGGCTTGGGTTCCTCTTGTAGGGCAATAACATCCCTTTGCTCTCTGCTGTGTTTAGTGCTGGGGAAAGGAGCTCAGAGCCAGAGGAGCCTCAATAGGGGCTGGAGCAGCAGGGAAGGAGAGGATGGGGCAGTGGTGCGAGGGTCAGACCTGCCCTGTGTACCCACCCATACGATGAGGACCACAAGAAGGGGAAGGTGGCAACTCAACCTCAAAAGTTCCCAGGGAGAAGAGGAGCAGAATGAGGGCACCCTGGAGACACCCACCTGAAGACAAAGGTTCCTCCAGCTCCATGGCCCAGCACATCCTTGGGGTTAAAGGAAACTTTCCCAACTACAACCATGTCTGGGTCTGCATCTGCAGAGGAAGAGGACAGCCATCCTTCAACCTGTGAGCACGGGTCCTGTAGGAAGCACACCAGGTCTTTAACCAGCTCGATGTTTCTTGGGCTCTACCCCTGCAATTGCTTTTGTAGCCCGTGCTTCTCCAGCAGCAGATCCTGCGTCTCCTCCCACCTCAGTGGGGCTGCAGCCCGCTCATCTCAGGGCATCTCTGCTCCTGCTTCAGGTGACATCCACAGACAAAGCCCCTCACACCCTGCCCGCTCCCACTGCACACACCTTCAGCAGCCACCGGGGCAGCGGGATCCGGGCTGGCTGTGCCGTTAGCCAGGTCCTTCTGGTGGGCTGAGGAGCCCTGCGAGTGCTGGGATGCGCTGCCCTGGCTCAGCCCCGGCTCCGCAGCGGCAGCAGCCTCCCTGGAGGCCCAGCCGGGGAGCAGCATCTCCTGCTGCTGCTGCAGGAGCTGAATCTGCTTCTCCAGCTGCTGCTGCTGCTCCACGTGCTGCCTCTGCAGCCTCTGCAACACAGACCACGGCAGCGCTCAGCGCCCAGAGCAGGGCTTGCTCAGCTCCCATCCCCTCGGGAGCAGTGGGCTCTTCCACTGCCACCACTCACCGTAAGCAGGAGGAGCAGGACCCCCCCGCCCAGCAGAGCCGTGCCCACAGCAGCCATCACCAGGTCCCATTCACTGGGATCAGGGTACACCTCCATCTGCTCCCCTGGTGCAGGATCTGATGGGAGCTGCTCCTCGCTGCGGATGGCCGGCTCCTCCACACTGCTTGGGGCCAGGAACTGCAACACACACCGGGGCTGGGCTGGCACCAGGGGACGGATGCTGAGCACTTGGGTTTGGGACCCCCTCTCTGTAGGACCCCACACTGGGGACCCAGCACCAAACCCCAGCCCTTCAGTGACCCAGCACCGGCTGAGGTTCCCCCAGTGCAGAGGTGGGACCCTGCAGAGCTTTGCCACTCACATCATCGAAGAGGGTCCTGGCAGCCGGGGCCCTGGGGATGATGGTTTCTGTCGTCTTCCGCAGGTTCTCTGGGAACGCCCGCAGCATCGTGGTGTGCACCACGGGGGGCAGCTCATGGTGCCCTGTGGTGGGAGGAGAACAGAGACAACCATCGGCTCAGGTCCCGTCCCCAGGGCACTGCAGGGACACATCCGAGCCCCATGCGGCTCCGCACCTATGAGGAGCCACTGGTTGCGGAGCGCGGTGATGCTGCCCTGCGGGTACTTGACGTCGGTGCTGGGCGTGATCTCGCACTCCCCCGACTCCCTCATGGTCACCTCCTCCGTGGTGGGGCCGTCAATCCTGGCCAGCGTGATGCCCTGCGGCTGGGACCCACAGCTCGTGGAGCACCACGCAGCCAGGCCACCGCAGCGCGAGCACACCGGTGCGGGCACTCACCACCAGCGCCACGCTGCTGTGGACCAGGGAGGTCAGGGCATAGAAGCTGGCTGCGTGCTTCCCCACGTACAGCGCTGGCCTGCAAGGCAGGGACAAGCCTCAGCCTTCCACCCATCACTGATGCAAGCACAGGCAGCGCGAATGCCACCAGCACAGGAGCCACGTACAGCAGCTGGGTCTTGGTGCTGGTGAAGTCCTTCAGGGACTGGTGGCTCCACTTGCGGACGTGGATGTCCTGTGAGTGGAAGGTGAGGTAGCGCAGGGTCTCCATGGCCAGGTTGAGGTGGGGGACGCGGCACAGGCTGTCCTGGTGCCACACGTAGATGCCGACCACGGGCGAGCCGTAGTTCTGTGCCCACAGCATCTCCCCGCTCTCCTTGTCCAGCGTCACCACCAGCCCGTCCCCGCTGGATGCGAAGTGAGCCATCTCTGGGCAGGGCAGAGGATGGGGCGATGCCGCGGTGCTGCCGGGGGACTCTGTCCCAGTTCACCCCCCAAACCCTGCCATGGCCATGGCCACTCACTGTAGTGGTGCCGCTCCTCGCAGAGCGGTGCTGAGTACTCGGAGAAGGTGGCGTTCCAGCGCAGCTCCCGTGACTTGGTGTCGTACATGGTGATGATGTACTCTGGGACACGAGCAGGGCACGAGGTCACCTCCAGCATCCCACTCCAGGCTCCAAAGGGATGGACACAGACAGGGAGCAGGGCTGGCTTACGGGTCCGGCCAATGTAGAGCAGGGGACTGGATGGACACAGACCATCCCAGGCCTCTGTTGAGAGCGTGGTCTGCTTCTCCCCTGACTTGGGGTCCACGATGACCCACGTGTCCTGCTTCTTCCCTGGCAATGAGAGCACATTTCCAAGTCTCCGCAGCCCCAGTGCCCCTCCTGACAAACCCCCCCAGGCTTCCTCCGGTCCCCCCTCCATGGATGCATCCCCGGGGTCCCCTCTCCTCCTCCTGCTCTTTCGTACCGGTGTATAGCACGCCATCCGAACTGCGGCACGGCGAGGACTGCACCAGCTCTGGGATGGTGAACGGGAGCTTCTGCGAGAACACAGAGGAGAGGATGCGGGGCCTGCCCAAGCAGCAGCATTCCCACTGTCAGGAGCAGGCTGGGAAGGATATGTCCCAGCAAACCCCCTCCTCCTCCTCCCCTGCCCTCATGGCTCAGGATGGAACAGTGGAGAGGGACGAATCCCAGTTGATACCTCCCTGGTGACAGGGACAAGCTGGACCAATAGCTCCGTGCTTGCCCCATCAAGCTCTGCCTGGTCTGCAGCCGCCGGGGTGGCAGGGAGGATGCAGGCAGCCCCCAGCCCCACTCACCATCAAGCCTTCCTTGTTCTTCCCTCCCAGGATGTACAGGCTGCCGTCATTGGGGTCTGGGAGGAACGCTGGTCTGGAAAGGAGGGAGCGGGTGAGATGTGAGCATCCTGGGCACAGGCCAAGGGCTGAAGCGGAGCTGCACTAAAGACCCCCCCCGGTGCTTTGCTCCCGGGTGCTCACTGCGGGGCTTGGCCTTTCCTGGAACCTCCAGAGCTGGATTTGGGAGATGAGCTCTGGCTGTGGGTCAGCTCCGTAACCCCATACGGCTGCCCTGCGCCTACCGGCCCTGCTGGCTGCGTGCCCTGCTCCCTGCAATCCCACCGTGCCCCTGCTCTTCCAGGGGGGTTTTCCTCTATTTCCCTCCTCCTCTTTCACTTGTGGTGGTGCTGAGGGCTCCTGGCTGTAAAACGCTGCAGCTCAGCAGCGGGGAGCAGCTACTGCTCATGGGTGTGCACAAAGGGCTAACACCAAGGGTAGGTTAAGGCGATGCCATGGCATGGGCTGGGAGGTTCATCTCCCCGGGGTTCCCTTCCCTGCTGTGAACCGCAGGCTCCTCGTTGTGCACCAAAACAGGTTCCAGCACAGCCGGCGCCAGTGCCCGGGGTTTGACACTCACTCTGCCACATAGACCGGCACCTGCAGAATGGGATCTGGAAGAGAGGGAAAGCAGATGTCAGCAGCCTCTCCCTGCTGGGTGCAGCGCCGCGGTGTTTGCTGAGTGCTGCCTGTTTGCACTGCAGACCCGGAACCAGCACCCCTGGCTCATGCTCTGCTCCAGCACTGCTGAGCCTTGAGCTGGAGCCGGCAGCATCCCTGGGATGGAGGAACCCCAGAGAGCCAGGCCGGGGCTGCACCCCCAAACCCAGCTAGAGCCGAGCCCCAGGAGCTGGGTGTGAGCAAGAACCCCCCGGGCATCACTCACCATCCTTGAGGGTCCACTTGATGTCCCCTGTGCTCTTACTCACTGCGTGGAGGTTTCCATCCAGAGTGGATATGAAGAGCAGCGTCTCTGGGACAGTCACAGCACCGCCCTTGAGGCACTGCGGGCAGGAACATGGTCCTTAGGGAGCAGCAGGGCCAGGACAAGCTCCCATCACCCAGCACCTCACAGCCCTTTGCCTTCCTCTCCCCTGGATCCAGCTTTGCTGCCGGTGGGAATGAGCCGCAGCACGGCTGCTCCCTGCCATGGCTCCTGGCGCCTTCCCACCCGCGGCACAAACAGCCCAGCTACCGGCTCCTGCCAGAACCAAACGAGTTGGGTGACTTTTGATGCCAGCAATGCAGCCAGCGCTGCCCCGGGCCCTCGGAGCCCGGGTGTCGCTGCCCTGACGTGGCGGAGGTCACTGCGAACACACCGGGAAGCGGAGCTGCTGCTCCCCAGCCCGGCAGCCGCACAGCGAGCGCCAGCTCAGCCGCAGCGCACACACCCCATGGGCAAACAGGGATCCGCAAACAGCACCGGACCCGAACGGCTCCAGGCAGAGGCAGGGCTGGAGCCGCCGTCCCGGGTGCCAGCGCGGCACCAGGCAGAACAGAGCGAGGAACCTGCTGCACCCTCGTGTCTGGCACAGCCCCTGTGCTGCCTCTGACCCGCTCTGGACCCAGCCAGGCCACCAGGCAGGCACTGGCTGATGGTCTGTGCCCACCCTGCGCCCCATCAGCACCAGCTCCCTCCCAATGCTCCTCACAGCAACCCCTCTGTGCCAAGACCAACTCTTCCCTTTGCCCCTCTTCTTGCTCGTTTTAGAGAGAGGTCAGAGCAAGTGTCCCAGCCCTTGCTTTGCCCAGAGGACACGGTGGGGCTGGCAGAGGAGGACAACTGCTCCCAGCACCGCTCCTCCAGCACCGTGTGGCCACGCAGGATGGAACCAGGACAGCAAACACAGAGCTCTTGTCGTGTGGCCACTGCATGAGGGAAATAGAACAGAGCCCAGCGCTCTGCGCTCACCAGCTCCACTTCTCCCTCCCCTGATGCTTTGCAGTTCCTTCCATGCCTTCTGCAACTACAGCTCTACGGTGTCAGGGCACTCAAACCAAGCAGCTCCCCCACAGCACCACGGGCAGAACAGGGAGCACCAGGAGGAGGACTGGGAGCACCAGGAGGAGGACTGGGAGCACCAGGAGCTGCCACCCTCCCCTCTGCTCCCAGCCCCGCTGCCCCAGCAGCCCAGGAGCGCGGCTGCTGTTCCCATGGGATGTTCCCAGGACCCCTGCTTCCCGAGGCTCCCACCACGTCACTCTGGAGCCTGCAGCGATGCTGGAGCTCAGCCACGGGCTTGGGGCACATTCGCTCCCCCAGTGACGGAAAGCGGCAGTGAGGCACAACCAGGAACACGGCCCCTTTGCCACGGCAGCGCTGCCAACACCCCCGGCCCGCAGCAGCTCTGCGGGCAGGAGCAGGCAGGGACGGGCCCCGGCTCCGCTCAGCGCAGCCAGACCCGGCGCTGGAATCGCTTCTATGGTCGCAGGACAGCATCTGCGGGCGCCGGGTCCCGCACACTCCTGCCAACACCATAAACGCGGCCACGGGACCCCGCAGAGCCCGCGGCCCCTGCGCCCTCGGGGTGCTGGACCCCGCGCGTTCCCGCACCCGCACCCCGGGGCTCACGCACACGGGGCTGATCCCGCTGGGCGCGGACCCCGTCCCGACGGCGCCGCTGCCCTCGCTGCCACCCCGGCGGACACGGACGCGCTCGCCGCGGTCCCCCCGTTCCCGATCCCGAGCACCCGCCCCTCGCGGTACCTGCGCCGGGAGCAGCAGCAGCAGCAGCGGCAGCAGCGGCAGCGGCAGCGGGAGCCCGCGGGGCAGCGGCGCGGCGGGGCCGCCCATGGCCCGCTCGTACCGGACATCCCGGGGCATCGGCGCGCAGGGCCGGGCCGGGCCGCGCTTATCGCTGCGTCGTGAGTCAGCGGGGCCGGGGCGGGACCAGGACGCGGCTTCCTGCCCTCCCCCGGTCCCCCCCGCACCGGCTCCGGCCGCCCTGGCCGGGTGCGCGGGGCTCTGCCCGGACCCCGTGCCGTGACATCCAGGTTCAGCTGACGGGAGAGTGGGGCTGGGAGCAGAGCCCTGCCCCGACCGCTGGAGCTGAAGGGATCTTCCTCTGCCGTGGAGCCAGGCTGAGAGAGCTGGGCTGGTTCAGAGAAGGCTCCTGGAGGGGAGACCTTAGGGCAGCTCCAGTGCCTAAAGGGGCTGCAGGAAACCTGGAGAGGGGCTTGGGACAAGGGCCTGTAGGGACAGGCCAAGGGGAATGGCTTGAACCTGCCCGAGGGGAGACTGAGCTGAGCCCTTAGGCAGAAGTGTTGTTGAAGCAAACAGAGCAATACTTAATTATCAAACTTTAATCCATAAGACTGACCTTAGAGCATAAACCAGCAGGACAACCTGGCAAGGTTACACTTAGGAAAATGCACCAGTGCAAGTCTAAGACTAAATATTTGTCATCTCCCTCCCCTGAAATAGGCAACAGATTATTTAACGATACCATCAGACATGGCACATGTTCCACTTTAATAAACCTGCAGGGGACACAAATACCTAAGGCTTTTAACATAAAACCAAAGACTGAATTGCTTCGAGTCCAGGTAAGACAGAGTGAACTTCCAGGGGCCAAGGAGAGAGAGGCCTTGGCTAGAAGGGAAGATGGTCACAGGCTTCAGACAAGACTTGCTACAGGCCTCCTGGCCCTCCCCTTCCTCCCTTGTGATGACAGTAATGAACACAAGATGCTGAGGACCTGATCCTAACATGTGGGGAAAGGTAAGGGACAAAACTGGGAATGGGAACTGCTCCATTGGAAAAAAGAAGTTACAGAGGGAGAAACAAGCAACAAAAGAAGGAATTTTGGGAAGAGGCCTCACTGCGGGAGCACCTGGGACTAACCCCAGCACCACACACATCACCATGAGCAGGTCACTTCTCTTCAGCCCTTGGAGCATGGGGAAGCCACATTCACGGCTGTGGGCAGCCTGATGCTGTGTGTGATCACTACGGCTGCTTTATGTGAACAGGTTCATAGCGGGTTCTTTGAATCCACATCACTTTCTCTCCCATCACTGTGAGCTCCTTCTTCCAGTTACACACTGCTCAAACAGTGCTATTAATGGGAATTAATCATTGACTTTAATCTTACACTTGATATGATGAACTTGTGAGTAACACAAGATTTACCTGCAAGATACAGTGCCCGCTCAACCCAAGCGAGGTTTAGTGACACGCTGCAGCACTCCCAACACAAAACTATACCAGGAACTGTTTATGCTTGGGATGCACAGAGAGGGGAATACTGGAACTCATGGCGCTGGACATGGAGAAAGGCCAGGGATACACCCAGGTGAGCAGCAGCGCTCATGCGGGGAGCTCTGGGACATGGCAGGACTCCTCCTGGATACACCAGAAGATACAGAGCTCCCATGGTTCTGAAAGGGAAAGAATCCTAGAGGTGGGGCTGCTAAGTTCAGTTGGAATATTTATCTCAAAGAACTCCCAAGAAACCGACTAGATCGAGCCAAAAAACACCAGGTAAAGCATTTTATATAAGTATCATTTTCCTGTATTTTAATTCAAACTTTGCACATAGAACAAAAGAGTGAAACAATTTCATTTTTCAAATCAAAACCAACGTAAAAAGAAGCACCTGAACAGAATTACATTTAGTTTATAGTATTCTCCATGTTTGAACCTGCTTTGTAACCAATGGGCTTTATACTCAGTTCCCTTTGAGATGAGCAGCTGTACCTGCATGGGATGCAGAGGAATTGTGCCCTTGGGGCAGGAGCAGACAGGAATGTGGCAGTTGCCCTGTGCCTGTGGTGCCCTCGCAGCAATGCATCAGGTACCTGCCCTCCTGCAGCACCAGAGCATGCTCACCCTGGTCACTGCAGCGGGCACAGACACCGGAGCTCTGGGCAGGAGCTGGAACCAAGACACATGCCCTGCTCCAGAGCACACAGCGAGAGCATAGGGAAGGAAAACGGAGCATGAGCAGATGTACAGACAGGTCCAGGCAAGCCAGGTAGCAAGTGGGAGCTGATGGTCACAGAACCAACAAGATGGTGAGTGCAAAGGTGACCCCAAGTGACAGGAAAAGCTGATGGCACCGTTGTCTTTATGCTGCAGTGCATATGCTCTCCACCAGGTCCTGGAGTTTAAATAGTGCCTGAACAGCAGGACTGGCAATGAATCAGAAGCGTGACAGCAGCGTCCAGTGTGCAATGTTCTCTCCCATCCGGTCACTCCAGCTCCACTGCCCACTCCAAGCTGCTCTGGGAACCTGGCGGGAATTGCTCCCATCTCAGTGCACGTAGGGCAGGACACGCTGCTGCTGGCTTGTGTACAGAAAGCAAACACCTCAAGCTACAAGAGTGACAAGCACATCACCGGTTTACAGGCAGGATACAAAACACCTCTAAGATTTGTATTGCATGGGTGGTCTGACTGAAAATACAAAACAAAAGCTGCTTACGTTGCTATCAAGAGCTTACAAGGAAATACAGAATCATAACACATACCATAAAGTGAATGCTTCTCCCAGACTCTCAAATAAAACAAAACAAATACTCATTTGGGAATCTGCACCTGCTGAGTTTCAACTGGGCTGCTTCAGGGAAAGAGAAAACAAGACATGGAGCACACCAAGACCAGCTATTCCCAACAGGCCTCTCCATGGGTTCACAGAGTGTTGAGCTACTTGCACTGAGCACTGTCAAGTCTAGTGTTAAACAGCTACCTGCCTGATGCAGGTTAAACATGGAGCCAGGCGGATTGAGCCTGACTGCCCAGCACTATCTGCGAAGGGTCTGCACCTTTGCAGGACTGAAAGGTCCATCAGAAACCTGAGATAATGGCACGTGGCTGGCTGAGAGGACAGGCAGAACTTCACAGGCCAAAGATGGGAGCACTGCTTCAGACAGGATGAGAGGCAAGAGCTTCCTGTAAACTTGAGCAGAGAAAAACTGAAAGGTGATTTCAACTTCAAGCTATAGCTGCTGGACAGATATTCTGAAGTGGGCAGGATTCACTGAATAACATTGCTATACATTTTCATATCCAGGACACAAAAGACTACAGCAGTGATAGAGGGTTTAAACCAGCATCTGAGCATCTCTCCTCCCCATCAGGGCAGGGAGGTCTCTTTGGTTCTCTCCCTCCCAAGGCTGGTGTTGCTGCTCCATGTGCTCACCCAGCAGCACGATGCAGCTCAGGAGGGTTTGTCAGCCACACGGGTGAGTGTCACTGCAACTGCTGCAGAAGAACTCTAGAAGACAGCATGCAGGGTCAGGGAAATGCTCCAATACCATCGCACTGGGGGCAGGACAGGAGCAGCGAGGTGCAGGGGGGGAGAGGAACAACTAACATGGCATGAAAGGGAGCGGGAAGCAGCACAGTGGTGTTCATCTGCCCCAAACATGCTACATGGAGTGCCAACCCAGAGCTTCTGGTATGGAACATAGCAGTGAGGGAGGGAAGGAAGCAGGGCATCTTTGGGTTAAAATAATAATGAAAACATTAGTTTTGCTACCAAAGAGTCAAACCTGAAACCAAAGGGCCGCAGAATATGGCTTTACTGAGCATCAGTTTGCATACTGCTTAAAGTTTATTCTTAAAAAAAAACAGCTTCTGAAAGTCACAACCAAGTCACAAAATCAAATTTAACTGAAAGACTATGAAAATAGCTGGTTTTGTTCAAACCATGTAAAAAATCCTCCATAATGCATCGTCATATTTTCTTTTCAAAACTAAACTGGAAGATCAACTCTCAGCAGATTTTTATTATTACACATGATACTTTGTGAATTAAGATTTATTGATTTCCATTGTATTTGCTTTAAATATGTTGAAGCTGACTGCAGAAAAGGGTTGGTGAAATTTTTAAGTTAAAAGTAAACTAATGGTGAAAGGACATCACCTCTGGCTTCCCTCAATGCCTCGTTTATCAGGGTTTATTAACAAGTTCCAGGACTGTCACATCCAGGGATGTCGGAGGCCTCTCCCAGCAGTGTCCTTTGCTTTGTGTCATTTTCCTGTGCCAGAGGTGAGCGTGCTTTCAAAAATACTGCCACTTGCCCAGCACCGTGTCTTTGATTGCATCAACATATTGAGTGGGTACCCAATAGACCCAGTAGTAAGACGCTTCTGTTGGGCCCAGCTGAAATGCCTGTGAAGTTAAAAATGACAACGTTTACAAACAGGAAACAAACAGCTCGTAGCAGGGGGGCAGGTACAGCCTGACCACTATAGACTCAGCAGTGTCTGCTGCTTCAAACACTCGGTGCACGCTCCTGGTACATGGAAAGCAACTCAAAAAGCTTCCTCAGAGAAATGAGAACGGCAAAGTAGCAGATAAAGTGAGGAGCTCCTTCCTTTTGTGATACCACAGCAGCAACAAAAGCTCTTGGCCAGTTTCAAGAACATGAGGAAATTATTCTGGAAGACAGAATCTGAAGCATAGCTCCAAAGAACTGACTGGAATGCACAGAGCTGAGAAGCCAAACAAGAACTAAAGACAATGACCATGTTCCCATAGTCATAAGATTGCATGGAATTTTACATTCAGACATAATGTCCTGTTCTCAACCTATGTCAGTGTTTATAGCTGAGGAGCACCACGGCAGCCAATAGCCTCTACCCTTGTGTTAGGGTAAGAGTGTATTGTAGCATACTCGAGGACATTTTCTTACATGGGTGATCAAAACCCCAGTATTTGGACAAAGCCTACACCAGCACCCTCCTGCAGACAATGATTTTAAAGGTACAACATCTCCCACTTCTTCTAAAGAAGGAAAAAGACTTGTATAAAGGAACTTACTTCAGCATTAAAAGTTATTACTGTACTTTGGAAAGCAAGAGCTCAATAAAACCCCATAGATTAAAAGAGACAAAAATTCAGAGGAATTAGCAGAGGTGTCTTCTTAAATGTGCTCCTCTT